TCTTTCCAGAACTTTCAGGTACTATCTCCATGACAATCTCATAAAGGGTTAAGCAACGTTTCCAGATATTTGATGATAAATAAAAGCAATTTTTTATGTTATTTCATACAAAACAATATTTGTATGTAAACAATGTTCACCTGTCATCCCAAAAGCTGACTGTGACTGAGTGTCACCTCCAGTTTTAGCTTGGTTGATGTATCCTTCCACCTTCTCTCTCTCTCTCTCTTTCTCTCTCTCTCTCTGTGCCATCTGACTTGATTTATTTTAATTTATTTTGGGCTTTTAATGCCTTTAATGGATAGCGATAGCTGAAGAGTGACAGGAAAGGGGAGAGAAAGGGGATGACACATAGCAAGGACTCAGCCTTGGTACATGGGGCGCCAGCTCTAATAGGGGAGCTATCCGGGCGCCCCTACCATCTGACCTTTAACCCATAAAATCACAGCTCGAGCAGACAGACAGTTAGTATGTTCAATTTGAGCCATAGCATGAAAGTCTCTGCTCTCCTTCCAAGGGGGTCCAAACACACTCAAAGGAGCCTGTTGTGCACAGACAGACAGCTTTAAATAAATAAACTTACATTAGATATACAGTATGCAGTATATTTTTTTTTTTTACTTTGATCTTGGGCCAAGTCTTGGGGATGAAGTCTCATATGTAGCTAGAAATGTGAGCTGTGGAATTTATTTGAAGTTTCATGTCAAAGCTACAGGAAGGAACAACAGATGGGGATGTTATGTCAGCCTCCCCAGAGTCAGTTTTGTGTTCGAGGCGCAAACTCTGCTGCCACCTGCTGGCAAACTACACAGAGAACACAATGTGGGTAACAGCAGTGACCACTGAGAAACTGGAGAAACTGACATATGGCATAAATCTGTTGCCACAGATTTAGCCTTTTAGGCACAAAAATGCAAGTTCCTACAAAGTTAACCATTCAATTTTAGGGTTAAGACTTGATTAAAGGTTAAGGTTAGGCATGTAGTGGTTATCATAAGGTTTGTATTAGTCTATAGGGAATGAAGTCAATGCAATGCCCCCTTTAGTTGACATTTGTAATGAGATGTTTTGACTGAACCCTTAAATTTAAAATATTTATTCTGCAGTTAAGAAAACACCAAAGTTTTAACATAAGTGTACAGATTGTGGCAGTAAAGCTTTCCTAATTGAAATTAATCAGATTAAATGGGTCCCATACAGTGTTGAAATGATTATTGTCTTACTCAAATAATCAACGGATAGAAAATTCTATTAACATATTTATCATTTTAGTCGGATATCAAGCATCAATCTATTGATTATTTATTTATTAAGTAATTTTCAGTTGTGGATTGTTGGTCGTACAAAACAGACCATTTGAAGATGTCATCCTGGCCTCTGGGAACCTGTAAAGGGCAATTTTACAATATATAACAGCTAATTGTTATAAAGTTATGAAGTGTCATGTTATGTGCTATGTTTCAAAGACTATGCAGTCAGACATGGAGTTGAAGAAATCATGTGTGTGTGTGTGTGTGTGTGAATGCAAAAAAACACTGTGAGAAGTACTAGAATTGGTCTATGTCAACTCACAGGTCTGTTTCTGTCTGAGTGTGTGTGTGTGTGTGTAACCCGCTGCACAGCCATTATTTAAGGCTGCTCTATTAGCATGAGATGGGGGCCACCAGCCGCTGGTGCCCAGTGAAAAATGAGCCTCAGCGGGCTCCGGAAAGCCCCAGAGAGAAAGAGAGTAGGAGAGAAATGAGTGAGAGAGTCCCTCTCTGGCATTTGTTGAGGCCGTTTGGCTTACGGCGCTCAGTTTGGCATTCACAGCGACCACTCCTAACCACAAACAGAAGCTAGGAGCCCTGAAATGTCCCTGTTTTCTCCGTATTTCTTTTATTTCTCTACATTTCCCCTTTCTTTATCTTTTTTATTCTGCCTTTTTCCCACTATGTCGTATACTTTATATTTTATATCATTTCTCACCCTTTTTTTATTTCTATCATTACTTTTTTCTTATAGGTGCCTTATGACCATTTATTTTCTGTGTTCATCAGCCTTTATTTAGATCCTTTATTTAAGTAAAAACAGTAATAAAGTTTTAAAAAAATATTATGAGATTACTATTACTAATTAACATCTAAGGAGCATTTTAATGTTGCTGCTTGTGGAGTTCATTTAAGCTACTTTGTAAACTTTTTAACAGTTTAAGATATTTATTAATCCCCCGTAGCTAAAATAAAAATTTAGCACAGCAACAAAGTGGAATATAGTGCAAAGAGTAGAGACAGACTAAAGTACAATAAAATAAAATAGAATATAATAAAAAAAATAAAAAACATACACTATATGCAATAAAGTGTAATATGATAAGCTTGTGTATAACTGTACATGTGCGATGTTTCAAAGTATTGCAGAGAGTGCAAGAGAAGAGTTGTGCTTAACAGGTTAATAGTTTTATAAGATAATCATGTTATTGTATGTTATATCTGAATCTGCAAAGTCACATTTAATTGCAGCTGCCTAATGAATGTAGTCATATAAAAACATTTTGCCAACCATATTAGTTGTTGAAACCAGTGGCTGCACTGCCCAGGTGAATTATAATGAGGAGGAACTTAAGCTCAAATGAACACAGTGATTAGGTTAAAATTCACCTCTGCTGAGCAGCCATGGATAAACACTCAGCCTGCGTTTATTAAGGCCCTGCAGATATGAGGCCATTGGCATGCACGCATACAAAAGCATTTTTCTCTATCAAACAGACACACACACACACACACACACAGACACACACACAAAGCTCAGTTCTTCTTCCAAAAAACATGTACAGCTGCCCAACTAAACCTCTATAGCCGAACAAAGTGACAACTGAATAGGCAGGAAAATAGAAGCAAAACTCTTTAATCTAATCCTTATAACTAATGAAAGCAGTATTTTTATTGAGAGTCAAGTCTTTTCTCCTGTAGTCAACTCATTTAACATTCATGGTTTGGTGAGCCTTTGAGTGTGTCACTGGATGGAGAGGCCCCATGGCATGGTTGGTGTTTTTCCCACATTTCTTCTTGTTTGGCCTGAATATGCCACATGCAGGCAGACTGTCTCTACCGTTGCCTTTAGCAGAGGGTTACAGACAGACCAATTGATTCAATGAGCTTAGATGTCACATTTTTTAGTGGCAGCTCCATAATATTACTCCATTGCCAAGTAACTGACCGCCCTGTGCAAGCTGATCTTTTGAATTGAGAGGGCATTTAACTGTGGAAGTGTTATTGAGGGCAGTGTAGAATATCAGTTCAAATTTGTGGCAAAAACAGGTCAAATGTGTTACAACTTGACCGGTCTCTATTCAGATGACTCAGAAGGGCTTTCAGATCATTTGAAATAGCTCCAAATCAGTATTTATACTCTATTCAGCTCCACTGAAGAAAACATACTGCAAGTTGACTCCTGAAGTGGATCTCAACCTTCTCTCAAACTGTTTAAGAGAACATTGTTTGCTCAGTTTCTTCAAATATATTGTGCAGCCTAATTCAACTTACAATTATTGCAATGTCAAATATTTATAGCCTATTCTCTACATTTTCTTCTCTAAGTCATTCTACAGTAGCAATCAGATTCTGGTTCTATGGTATTGTGAGTACATTTTTGTACATATTGACCTGCTATCCTGTTATTTCTATTAAATGTGTGTATATTATCATGTTATTTTTATTTTTGAAACAGTAAAAACGTGTTTAGCAGACAGCTGACAGCATGGGAGTGTACAGGATCATTTGTATTTGTATTTTTTTTTTTTTACTTTCTAACATCTCATCTAATCTTTTTTTATCTCTTCTTCTTTGCTTGCTCTCTCAGTGTGACGATGGAGAATGTGGCTCGGTTCAAAGGGCAAGAGTATTGTCTTCATCCCAAACTTCAGAGCACCAAGAATCTGGTCAAATGGTTCCGCATCTGGAAGGACAAGCACAGGTGTTAAATCCTATGATTCCTTAAATAGATTTCTGTCTTACACCCCATCATTTATTTATTTTGTTAATCTAAATCTAAAGTCTAAATATACTGTATGTAAATGTTTCCAAGGCTAGGCTTAGGACAATATAAAGTAATATAATAATGCTACACGTGGCAACAATAATTGATATTCAAAGTGGCTATGATCAGTACTTACAGTGGATCACATGACTATGTGTAATGTAAAAGGTGTCACTCTTATTATGAAACCCACAGAAAATTATCACCCGACTGTGCAGTTCCCCTCTACGGGGTTTTTGCAATGTCTTCTTTTAGCGACCAGCTGGTAAACATAGTGGAGCGTTTAGCAGCTGAAGAGCCAGATATTCCTCTCAGGGGTTGATGAAGAGACTAAAAACAGAGCTGAAAGGAGAGTGAAAATTGGATTAACATTCATCAGAAGGCCAGAAAAACAAATAAAGTCAATAAATAAAGGCTTTGTATAATGGACACATTTAGTAAGACACAACACTAAAATGTGCAGAATTGGTGTATATTATGTATTATTTCCTATTAGATTTCCATACCCCTTACTGCCCTGTTTATATATACCAACCTCTGTTATCACTGACTCTGACTGCTAGATCATGTTCAGTGGCTTCATTGTGCAGCTTAATTGATTGCTTTTGCTGAAATTTCTCCTCTCACCGTCCTTCCACCATGGGAAGGTTAGAGATCAGGGTCAGCCGCAGACAAAAGCCCCATGGAGAGGGCAGGGATTCAGTGTTTAGCTGAGGGAAAAGGAATATTTCCACAGAGACCCACTATAGATTGCAGGGTGATAAAACCTGTCCTTCCACTAACATCCACAAGACCAGTAAATTGAACACAAGAAACATTTGATCTCTATTCCTCTGACACTCGATGGAGCAGGATAATGACGTTTCTCAGAGAAATTAACTCTTATTTTTGTTTCTTCCTCAGGGTGTATGAAGCCTAAAACCTCAGCCGCCCAGCACACGTGGATCAAGTGAGACAAAAACAAAACGAGACAACAATCACCAGGACTGTTTTTGCGAAGTACAAGATGTATTACTACAATCAGACTGTACTTCTCCCTCTTCTGCCTGAGATTCGTCAAGCACATTAAGAGATATCTTTATAGTTTGTATGTAAGCTGGTGGGCTCGTTTTATTCGGCCATCAGTCTAGTCACAGTAACTTACCACTCCTGTCTTTACAACTGTAGTTATATTTTTCAAATAGTGGACGAGACACCGCAATCTGTGTTCAAACAGTTGTAGGTTTGTTCAGTTATTACTTAAAGGGACTTCTCTTTTGCTTTGGCTTTTAGGCTTCTTTCAAAGTGAGGAATGTGTAAGAATGTGTCCTTCTGAAGAAACAGGCAAACCTTCCTTTGAAAACTACAGTGTGGGTGTTTCAGTTGTTAAGATTTTCTCTACTCTGTATTCAATGTGACAGGTAGGACGCTAGTACAATGCCAACATTTAGGATCTGGTTACCCGTGTTTAAGAGGCTGTAGTCGAGATGCAGCGATAAAGGTTCTCAGTGAATCTGATTCTCTGTATTTGTAGAGGAGAGGCGGTCGATGTGCAGTTACATATAATACAGAAGTTGCTATTGTTCAGTCAGATAGAGGAGATTTACCACACTGTGTGTGTGTGTATGTGTGTGTGTGTGTTTACCATGTCCACACTAGTCATATGTGTCAAACACACACACTATTCTGCAGTACCCATTTTGTAAAATATTATCTCATTAACTGTCAGGGTGTAGTTTTAATAGATGTTAAAGACTACAAATAGTTAATTTGTGCCATTGCTACATACAGTACAGTCTGTGGATTGGAGTTCCTTTAAAAAGCTTGATTAATAAAGAAAGCAAGACTGTCTGCAGTTTACATCCACAAAGGACTATCTGTTATATATTTTCACTGGTTGAAAGACGTTTAAGTTCCACCTCTTGAAATAAATGTGTAATGAAGCAATGTCTTATAACTACTGTACTGAGCATCTTTAAAGGATAAGTAAGGTTGTTCATAGTCTAGTTTTTTGTTAACCAATATCCCATGAAAATATCCAAATCAACAATGTGCTAATGTCTCTCAGTAGTTCCTAAATTCCCTAACCTGTCTGTTGCACTCAGCCCATTCATTCCTACTGAAACCTTTAAAAACAGGTCAGAAATACATACTCTCTTAAAACAAAAAACACATCACTCAAACTAGAGTAAATGGTGCATTCATTGGGGACTATTTTCAGCTGCGGATTAATATACAAGCGGTGCTCTACTGAGTATTTACAGCAGCACAACGGTGACTCCAAATAAACTTAAGTGACCATGTTTATGGTTATAAAACAACATGTCACCCAGTTTAACTGTGTTGCTCACTGATGTGTTTTTAATAGTTTGACTACAACGGAGCTCTGTGGTGCAGAGCAATAAGATACATCAGGCCTCTGACACACAGACAACTTGTTAATGGATTTTGTTTTTTTTCATGGGATTTGTTGACTTGAAAAAGAAAATACAGAATATGATCAAACATATCCTTCAAAATGGGTTATGGGCTATGTTATCACTTTATGAAAGTAATCATTGGACCAGTGCATGAGAAAACTACTTTCTTTTAGCATTGATGAGACAATTTGGCTGAAAAATCTGAATCATTCTTACTGTCCACATACAAAACAACACTAATTACACAACAGCATATATTGGAATAAATGGTAGGTGTTTCACTGCTGAAGATCGTTTCACTGTCTCCTACAGTCCTGTGTGGGCGATGATACTCTGATCTGATCTCTCCTCCCGTAGATATCCTGAACAATACTGTCAACATATTATTTTGTACGCTGTGGATACACTTTGTAACAATGACTGTTGGGTGTTTTTTTTGTTGCCACCAAACAGAATTCACACACAAATATATCTACATATATACAAAAACACTACATTTTCTTTACCTTTTGAAGAATGTGCATTACTCTTGTTTTATATCTGATATATAAATATATATATAAAGAAGCATTTTGTAAATGGACCAGTATAGCCTATATGTTAGTGAGAATGAATTCACCTTAAGACTTTCTAGTGTCATGTATATTGTATTACTGCATTATAGTTGTTTTTGCTATTTAAATCTTGGTTTGGTAACAGATATTTGGAGGTTTAGTGTTTGGACCGGTCCACCAAACACACCGTTAAACATTCCATTGTGTGTAAAACAATAAACACAGCAATAAAGTGTCTATAGAGAAGCTCGTGTTTGCATTTGATTAATTTAATCAACTACTGAAATAGAAACAGAAACGCAAGAGAAAACAATGCTGTTGCAGATATGTAGAGGGGGGAGGAAGGCAAATGAAGGTGCTGTGAGACAAGCAGTCCACCAGGTGGCGGTATATGCCAACTGATTGTTATCAGGCGAAGTGCCAGAGACTAATGTAAAAGATGTTCACAGTGAATACAAGGATAGTTGAGCTGTAAATATTTCAGTGATTGGATTTTGGACACATGAAATTATTGTGCATATCACACAGAAAGACACTAATAGAGATAGTGAAGTAATGTAGGCCAAACATTTGAAGAGCGGTATGTAAATAAAACACTATGAAGATATATCAAGAATATTATATCGATACCTTTGCATTTACAAAATCTGAGTAATATACTGATACACACATGCCAGTTTAACAATTAATATTCAAAGTCCTATATGAATGGGGAAAATAAAGGTTTATGACTTAACTTTAATTGAGTCAATTATTAGATAATTTAGTGCTCTGGCACATCTGATGCTTATGAACTGCATGCAGATTTGATAAATCACATCAGAAGAAGAATATATACTTTATTAATCCCCTAGGGGAAATTGTTCTTTTCACTCTTTTTTTATTCACACACACACACACACAGGCTGAAATACACACTTCACACAAACAGGGAGAGAGATGGTGGAGTGATGGGCTGTCGCGTTACAAGCGCCTCATGACAGGGTCTTCAGGCGTTAGGGTTCAAGTGCCTTGGCTCGAAGGGGCACCTCGGCGAGCTGCACCGGGAAGGGGTGAAACCGTGCACCTCTTCCAGCTAACAGTTTTCCACACTCCATATTGTGGTCTGTGGGACTTGAACCGGTGACCCTCCGGTTCCCAAGCTAAGTCCCTACACACTGAGCTACTGCCGCCAGGTATGACAATATGTAATGTAGATAAGCAGAGGTAGATCATCTCTGCTCCTTTTATACACAAAATGTATAGAGCTAAAATGACTAGTTGATAGATATTCAAAGGTAAAAGCCTTTACTGTTAAGAAATGTCACTTTCAGGATATTATTGATACATTAACCTGTACTTAAACTATCACTGTGACAACTGAATAAACTGATTATGAAGACAGTAGTAAGATATGGATGAAAGCTCTGAAAAAAAAAAACAGGTTAGTGAAACCTAACATTGCAGTCAAACTGTGACAAACATTGAAATGTAGAAAATTTTCCTCTGAAATTTAGGTAGATGCTTACATAAATACATATATCAGACATGAACATGGTTTTATAGGCTACTTTTCACATGTGTATGTGATTCATAGGCATTAAATGCAGCTTTAGGCATTAAGGATACATGTGAGTACTATAAATAGCAAGAGTGTAATACGTTTTTTTTTTCCTTTGGTAGTTAAATTCAGGTTAATTTATGGGAAAGAGTAATGATGAGGGTAAGTATGCAACATTTAAACATGCCTTCTACTTATAGTCTAAATAATCAGTTATTACTCAATTAAAACAAAGTAATGCACGGGCAGAAAAGGTGGCAGGCTACACTGTGAACAAATAAACTACATATCCCTCAGAGAAAGCTACAACCATCTTCGTTTGTATGCTTCAAGTTGGCTGTCTGTGCCTGTCTGTAAGGCGGGGTCAGTATTTGGCAGCTGTCCCCCGCTGTGTTCAGAGTGAGAGAGGCGGGGTCAGTATTTGGCAGGTTCGTCCCTTGAGGGTGTGTGTGCGAGACTCGCTAAGCAACGACCTGCAAGCGGACCCGAGCCAGTCCGAGCTAAAGAGAAAACAGGAACCACATTATTTCCGAGTGTCTTTGCCATGTTCCCGACGATACTTCAACGCCGTCTGCTCTGATCTCATCGAAGTTGCCGTCTCTCCAGGCGTCGGCTACAGAAACCAAACAAGAAATTAATGCATCTTGCTCCGCGTTGCTGTGTGTTTTGACCTGGTAAGGTTCCCCGTAGCGACCGATTAGCTCGCGTTGCTAGCAGCGCTTCTCCTGCTCCGCTCAGCATCTTAGTGGCTAATGCTAGCCCGCTACGCTAACTGTGTCTGACGCTTTGTGTTGTCTGCTTCGTGTTGTGTTCGTCTTTTAATAACCACGGCTCGAGTGCAGCGTGTGAACGTATCTGCCGCAGTTGTTGTCTTCATTCAGAGGCCAGCGGCGACGTGCACAGCGGGGCAGTAACCGTTAGTGGGTTCGTGTGTGTCCACTGGGGGCTAACGGCTAACGGTTAGCAACGGAGGCAGTTCCATCACATCTGTTGAGGAATAACGGCCGTCAGTAACCGTCCAACATCACAGCTCTGTGCTCATCACGGTGCTTTATTTTGTTTCTGGAGCAACGGTGAACAGTGCCTCTTGTGTTCAGTTGTGCAGACATTTGGCATTATAGTTGTCTGTAGTCAGAGTGTGTGTGTGTGTGTGTGTGTGAGAGCTTCAGGATCACCTGGTTGTGGCGGTTATTGTACAGAAACATACATCCTGTGTGTTTGTTGTTCCTTTGAACTGTCGCCTGTAGTTTCGTTTTCTGTTCCGACTGTTTCTTGAAAGCTTCCTCGTTTGCACGGATGCTCCGGGTTGTGTTGTGTTGTGTTGTGTTGTGTTGTGTGTGCTGGAATGTTCTGGTGTTTGGTGGCACAGTGTTGTTCGCCTGGGCTCTTCCTGTTGAATGGGGTTTTTAAATGTGTGGTAATCCTTTTAAAAACGTGGTTCTGTGGATGTGGAGGGCTGACTTTCGTTTCTGGGCTCTCTTAAATCCTTTGCACATTGCATAATCGTATCCTGCCGTTGTCCTGAATTAGAGCGGATTGGTCCTCCATATGGTGGACTCAAGGGCTGAGTGAAGGGACTGTAACACAAAAGTACACTGTGGGGAACAGCACATGCACTTATATTATTATTTATATATGTCAATAGATTACTGTGCAGACACACACATATTTTATGCAGGTAATGGATGTTAGAAAATACACAACTATTACTAATTCCTGGGAAGTGGCGTTAATTTGCAGCATTGATTTGTCTGTCAAAATAAAATTAATCTGCAACTCTATTGCCGATCAGTCGATTGTTTAAGTAATTTATCAGCAGACATACCAAACGGGTTCCAGCTGTTTATTTGTGAGGCTCTGCTGTTTTTCTTAGTTTGTTTTCTGTGATTGGAAATCGACTGTTAATTAGAACAAACAGGCGACTTTTTTAAATTACCTTTTTCATGAATAATTTTTTTTAGAATAAACGATTCATCTTTTAATTGGGACAGTAACCCGCGCATCATCGGCAGTCCCACATTATTGCCAGTATCAACAACCTTGATGATGACGATTACAGTTATTTCTAACAATATTGCATTTATCCATTTAGAAATAGCATTACAGTTTTATGAAGGAGTAGAAAAACATGCAAGGGAAACAAAGCCAGTGTTACACAGCAGAGAGTGAAGTGGAAACTGTCTTCAAGACTGACATAAACCAAGTACATTTATGAACCGTAAACAGGTGTGACAGTATTTTACAGCAGCGCCTGATGTATCTATGTGGTATTGAGCTCATTATATGGAGCAATGTACGGATTTACTACTAATGTACTGTATGTATACACAAGTGTAAAATTAACTTAAATCCTAAAGAAGTAATTCTGCAATTATCAGACAATATACTTAAGATTCAAAGGTAACAACACTCATTGTGAAGAATGGTCTCTTCTGGTCTGTCTGACTTTAGTGTTTCAATGACAGCAACAGCCCACAAACAAGTTGAATTTAAACTGCAGCTACGTATCTGAGGGGCTTATGTAAAATCTGTCCCATACCTCAGTAAAGTTTAACCTGTTGGCAGAACAGCACGGTTATTGTGTAAGAGACAGCAAATATGTCTATAGACCGGCTGGAGTAAAGGTCAACTTTGCATTGGTGCTGATGTTGGAGAAAGGTTAGCAAAACTTGTTGAGTCAGCTACTGTAACACACTTTAGATTGATGGCGTGACACACTCAGTGGAAGTTTTAGGCCAGTGTGAGGTCCACGTAGTGCAACTGATGCAGTGTGGGACGCTCGCTCTGCAGTACATCCTACCTCTGTGAAGGTTGTAATGTCCGCTTGTTGTTGATTCAACTTTACGGCCGTTTTGGAAATCGTAGTTTGTGTAGAGACATGCTTTTTATATTTTGTCCATGTTATGACTCAATACGGTTAGAAGAGATATTAAAAGCACCTCACAATGTCATGCTCTACAAATCAGCAGCTGAATGGTAAAGGCGCATACCACATAACCACAGTGGCCCCGGTCCGATACCACCCAGGGATCCTCCATGTCATAATGTCATTCCCTTCTCTCTCCACTATTTCCTGTCCGCGTCTATACTGTCCAATCAAATAAAGACAAAAAAATGCCGCCAAAAATCAGATGCCACTCATTTGAAAACAGACATATTACTCAGTGGCAAGGTCAGCGAGACATTTGAGGCTCAGCTGAACCTGTAGCCTTTTTATGGGAAGGATCTCACGTATGCACATACCAACAGTGTCAAAACCCTCCCACCTCCCGCTGTGTGAGATAAGGCCGCGTACGTAAGCCGACCCACAGTTTTTATATGGAAGGAAAACAGGCGCGCACACAGCAGTCACAGCAGTGTCACAACCACACAGCTGCCTGCAGTGTGGGATTGTTGTTGCCAGGTCAGTGAGTGGTTGTTTTAGACTCTGTGGACGGGGGCCAAGCTAAACCAAACGCGGTCCAAATCTCTCTAAAGCTGGACCCACACTGCCAGAAATTCACCAGATTTAATCCGTCTGCTTGTGTTCACACCTGTATGGGAATATGTTTCATAACCTCTCTTTTTATTGGTTAAAATGGAATTAGCTTTTATTATTAAGCATTTAACTCTTGGTCTTTTTGCGGCACAAGTTAGAATGAACAAAAAAAAAAAAAAGCTGGCATTTGTAGCTAATTTCAAAGAGTAATCTGTTCAATTGGATATAAAATGATGAAGACTTTAAAGGCAAAGAGATGTCGGTATCTAACGAGAAACCTTGGAGCGTCATCTTCTGGTGTACATTCATGCAGTGTGGCACTGACCTGGCCCAAAGATTGTGTAAATGGAGATAGTCCATTAGGCAGCTGAAATAACAAAGGCTTCTACAGGGGAAATCTTTTATTCATGTCTTGTTATCTTTACCTACGAATATCAGAGAAAAGGCCCACAAGAGCATTTTACTTTCAGATCCTGGACTGTAACCTTACTATGAATAAAAGTACTGTAATTCATCATTCAGGCATGTTCATTTAAACATTGACTCGGATATGTTAGGTGGATTTAGTATGCCACAGAAATGTAGAACATAATTAATGTGGCATGTTAACATTTTCTCCTCATTAAACCTATTTTTGTCTTTGACAGGTGAATACACTACAAAGCCTTTGACCATTTATTTAAGACTTACAGAGTGAAAGGATCTTTTCTCTTAATACAGGAGAAATGCAGTAATTGAATTACTGCATTTCTCTTTTTCCATAAAAGCACTGCAGTCCAGGAAATACATGTCTGGAAATCTTCCCTTGGTTTAACACCATTTTATCTCTTGAAGAATGTGTCTCGATCATTAACAACTATGGAACTATTTTGAGAATCAATTAATTGCTTCAGTCATTTTTCTTTTTCAAGCAAAAATGCCAATAATTCCTCGGTTTCAGCTTTTCAAATGTGAGTTTGCTGGATTTCTTTGCCGTCTATAGTCTGAAATTTTACAAACCCCACAATTAAAAGATTGAGAAAATAATAGAGAAAAGAATTGTTAGTTGCACCCGTACATCTGTGCACTTTGTTAAAGGTTTGAACAGATTTTTAGCTATGGGTCAGCTGGTAAAGATGTTGCTAACAATTTCGACCAAGTAGGCAATCCCTTTATTCTCTGTGGATGTGTTGCTGTAGTGTTAATGTTGCAAATCAGTGAGCAGGACAGTTTATTGGCAATATTCCACCGTCAAGTGTTTAATTCCCCGGATTAAAGAAAACAGACATAGCCATCTGTTTATTTTATCCATTCATTGAATTGCTAGATGATAAAGTACTATATGAGCACAACACAATATACATTAAATATGGACTAATAGACAGTTGTATTCATATTACGCACTCCAAACTAGATATTTACATCTAGTTAATTATTTCCCTTCCTAATCTGTGGTGCATATTAGTGAATAAATGGGATTCTTGGGGCTGGTGTTTGTGGATGTCACTTGGCAGTGGCAGCGGATTTGGTGAGACAAGCTCTTAATTTCACTGTAGATATCAGACAGAAATTCATAATCTTTATTATCCCTGTGCATTGCTGTATAATTTGACATTTTTGTTCTACACCAGAAGCAGAAGGCTTGAGTATAAAAAGAAGGCAGATGGGGAAGTCTTATACTGGCTGGCTGCTTGGTCTATATCAGGTCGTCGATAGGTTTAAGGACAGCGCTCTGACTGTAAAGCATCTGCTGAATGTGTGAAGCCACAAGTGAGATTGTATAATGATAAAAGTCACGTGACTGGAAATACAGGATGACAAACTAAGTCATAGAGTCACGTATAATAATCTTTGGCATCGTTTTCTACACTGGTTGGCGGACCTTTGCATTCAGTTAACTGGAGTTTTGTATTGATAAAGGAAAGCCCCAAGTACTGAATATTTCTTCACACATTGGTTTCTAAAACGTCCGAATGTCAGTTCACTCTCAATCAGATACATTTTACATCAAACAAGTATTGTAAAAAAAAACAGTGAACAACATAACCATGAACATGAATGAATGAAAATGGACAGAAGTAAACTTCCTCTATACTGCTTGAGAAAATCAAACTGCACTGTCACTGCTTGGTCACTGTTTATCTTCTGTCACTGTGCACTCACAGCTGCTGTTTTCATCCATTGTTTGCACACATGGAAATGACTTGTACTATCTCG